ACTATTCAGTAGCTCTAGGAGTCCAGGTCTCGGCATTTCTATCTACGAGCATCATTTTCATTAGCATTGCCATGTCAACAGAGATAGTTCCAACACACATTTTGGTTGGTATTTGGTTGGAACCAATTATTAGGACGAGGGGCTAAGCAATAATTCCGTGCGGATCAAAGCTCACAACATCTATTTTATCTCTAAGATGAATCCAACTTTCCACCTCTCTACCAAAAAGATTTCTTCTAAGACCTAAAACCTATTTAAAGCTCTCTTTGCTCCAACAATGCTGATCACCAATTTCCTTTTATTTGATTATTTTCCCATTTTGGAGATTGAATTTTAAGAAATATGGGAAATGAGCTGTTACTTGCGATGTCAAACCCTGCGAAAAATATGGGGAAACAAATGCATACCTGTCTACACTAGCAATCGTATATATGGGATAAACAAGCTCTGCAGCTGGCTCCATAACTTCTAGAACATTCAAAATGCCCAACTGTTGGAAAAAAGATCATGAGATACCTTAACTTCCTCATAAAGTAGCAAAAAAATCTTGAAATTATTCGCATTGCTAGTAGGCAAATGTGGTAAAAGAGAATAAATAGATGCAAAGGTAGCCATGTAATTTCCCATTATGACAATAGGAATAACCATTCAAGTCAAGTTGTCATTTAGACTAAACCACCTTTCTCAATAGTAGTACATCACTGTTCAAAGGATTTTTTCCAGTAACACGTTTGGTTTGAGCAATTGAAAGTCCAGGCGGGCATCCATCACTATAAAAAATCATAAAGCATAAATTTTATGTAATATTTCATCAGACAGAAGTATTTAGATGAATAAATATACAATGTTAACTCAAAAAATTCCGAACCTTTCAGAGTAAGGTTGATACAAAATTGTGTGAAGGAAAAACTCAAGGACCAGCAATTGATTCTGAGACGTATTCAGGGATCTATATTTAGCGGCAACTTCATCGTCAATTTCACGAGAGTGACATTCACCAATCACCTGAAAAAAGGCCATAAACCTTGCTCAAGAGCAGAAACTTCTCTGGGGGAGGCTGACTGCATACGGCAGCTTGTTTCTCTCCCCAATACGAAGCAATATGAAAACAAACTAATCCAAGTTTTATCCCAACATATAGGAGTTCAGACTTCTTTTCTTTCTTTTTTTTTTTTTTCTTCCCCCTCTTGACAAGGAACGAGATATCTAAGATAACAAGAGCAAGTATGTACAAAAAGTAATCGGATTAGAAGACCTAAAATGATTTTCATAAAAAGGCATCCAGTCCTGCATAGTCGTGAAGAAACTCCTTAATCAAAAAAATAGAATCACATAAACCAGTTACATGGTTTTTTATCCACACTTCAGCCATATCTTTCTCTCGTTAAAAAATATGTTATTCTTAACCTTCCATATGATCCAAATTATACCCAAAAAACTACAAGTAAATATTGTTTTATTCATCTTGTTATGTAAATTATAAAGATATCGAAAACCTAACAAGAACTATATTTGAACACAAAAATAAGAATGAAAAAGTAAATCAAACCAGTTTTCGGCAATAAAAGACATTTTTTTAAAATTGAAAATGAGGGGGAAAATTATAAATCAAAATATTTTAAGGTATAAATGTCAGTCAAGAGATCATCTTATTAATATAAAAAAACAGTAAGATACATTTAAAGATGACAAATAAATAAATGATCACAGTATCCTGCTATACAAACCCAAAGGTATCCAAAGAATAGTTCACCTTAGTGACGATTCTCAAAATAATATCTTGATGCTGAGAAGGTAGCTTTGAAATATTTGCCAAAACCATAGGGGACATGTGCACCTTTTCCTGTGGAAGAAATGTCAGGGACTCGGTAGCGCAACTCATTGTCCCAAGTTTACCGAATCAACACAATAAAAACCTAAGTGCCAAATGGACAAGATAGATGCATACACCTTTGGATCTAGACGATCGAACGCCATCTCAATGTACACAATGCAGAAATTCCTGACCATGGAAGTAGAATTGGCCTCCAAATATAGGTTCCACAACTCCAACAGTGGCAAACCAATATGAGACTGGTGCTTCACTCTCTTATTAACGTGACTCAAGATCTCGAGAACCTATTCATGTTCAATAAGAAGAAAGGACGTTGTTACACAAATGACGATCAAGGAGCATATGATATCACATGAACAATAGCTAACTCCTTGGGATGTCAGGTTCACTGAGTAAATGTTGTTTATATTGTTTCTACTCTTTTTAAGAACCAAGTTTCATTTCCGTCAAGTTAAGAAGAAGGACGACAGCCATAAGTCCTAAAAGAAGCTGAATTAAAGGAAATTACATATTTCTATAATTGTGCCACAGATTTCAAGATTAAAGCTAGAAATCAGTCCTACACAACAATGTAATTAATTCTACTGTTTCTTTCCACATAAGCAGCCGATTTTCATATCTACACAAGCATGTGTCGTTACTATAAATAAGAAACTACAAGGAGCACATACATGCCCAAAGAAGTTTAAACTGAAGATGATTTATGGGAAGAGGAACTCAAGGATACTCAATATTCCAATCAAAACAGCATAGTTAAATTTGGAACGCATAAATCTAGGAAGACTCTGAAATATTTGAACAAAGACCGTATTTTAAGAGCCAACAAAATCTGTTCACCATAACTGAAAGTAGCAGTACTTGTAGAAAGTGAGCAACAAGACAACCACGTACAAGCGTCATCGAAGCAAGCCCACCTCCCAAGCTCGGCTCTATATCCCACTCTCTCTCTCCCTGCTTGGTTGAGGGGTGCGGGTGTACGTCCATTTCAATCCAATGGGAGAGGCAAGGCGGCAACACACCTAGCTCGGCATGGATTAACACGCTGGAAGGTGGAGGGACCGCATGCTTTGGCACCTCAGCCCCCCACCCACGTCCTTACCCATGCCTAAGGCCTCTAGCACCTGCCTCGAACGAGGTTCACGTCATGCACCCATGACACTCAGCCTTACCCCACCATCTGCGTTCCACCGCCACATCCCCCACCCTCCAAAGAACTCCAGCCACCCACCCATGTGCATTGCATTGTGTTTGGGGTGTGGTTGCAGGGCCACAAGGGTATAGCCACGCCTCAATTGAAACTAGCACTACTTATACTTCTTCCTAAGCTCGTTTCATAATAAGAATCCAAAATTCTGAAAAATGCTTAACCTGGTTTACCAAAACTTCTTACATTTAAGGGACTCATATTTACAATCCATTTGTGTCAGGCTAATCCGAAAATAAAAAAGAAATCGTTTGAAATAAATTCATAGCACTCACTAGCCTGAAGGAGAGTTGAGAATGTGAAGATTGAAGGCACATTATTTAAAAGAATATGATGTATACAAAAAAGTCCAATGAAAAATTCATCATAATACATGCCAACTATATAGCTCCCTGTCTAATGCCAGTGCACATCGCGAGAAAAAGAATCGACTATATATCACACCACACGCTTATAACTCACAGGAACGTTCTCAAGCAGTTGATACAAAACGATAATCAGAATAAGATCATATTCGACAACACAAACTTCATAATTGAGCTCAAGCCAGCAACTGAAAACTGATAAATTTTCCCGAGAAAAAACTACGATAAACAATTTACAATACCTTGTTGCGGACAGAGGTAGCCTGCGAGGAGAGGGATGAAATCGTGAGGGGAAGAACTTTGGATAGAAGGGATTGAAGATTGGAGTCGTCGCATAGAGCCAAGCGCGTCAGTATTCGATCTAGCATTTCTTCCGTCTGCAAATCGGATTTTGAAGTCGATGATGATTCCGCCATTTCACAAGATTTTTGAGCTCTTCGTGCACTGAAAAGTTGAATGAAACAACGCGCGAAACGTCAGGCGGTTGAAACGAAATGGAAGATTGAAGACAGACGAAGCTAACACAGAGAAACAAGACCTTGTTTCTTTTTCTTTTTCTTTTTCTCTTTTATACTTTCCCTGGTATTTTCCGTGGGTAGTGTGAGATTTTTCTTGAGGACAAAGCTATGTCTTTGCGTATCTACCAACTTCATCCAACTCTTCAATATTAACCTTTTTCATATCTGATCAAAATGTTGATTTAATTTAAATTTTTATTCTAAACAAATATTTTTTTTTTTTTTTATGAAAGCATTTTGAAAATCATAAGAATTTGAAGATCGAAATCTCCTTTGAAAAATAATTAAAGAAGAGAGAAAAAAATTTATTAAAAACTATTATATAATAAATTAAATAATTTACCTATATTTAAAATATGACGGATAATAGAACTTTAAAGGTAACAGAAAATAATTATGCTATAGATAAGTTATTGATAATAAAGAAGCAGCGGGAAAAATAAACTCCAATATGTACAATTTCTATTATTCATTATTAATTGTAATTTTCTGAAGGTTTTGGGCCTTTGGACTCGTGGCTATTAACGCCCACAAATGTGACATCGTGGGCCTAAAGCCCATTTCTACTTCCAAACTGAGAAATAGCCCTAAATGTGTGATTTTTGGCCCAATTAACGTTAGCTTTGACTTTTATAATTGTCGATATCTTTCAGGGGTATTTCAGTCTTTTTGGCCAAAGTATAGGCTTATGAAGCACCCAAATAGTCTCCCATTAATCTCCATAACTTTACTTTTGATTTCTCCAAAAGATATTGTATCAATCTATCAATATAGATGTCTTCCTTACTTATAAATTTATGATCATTTTCTTAATTAGTCTATGGGTGACACCCTCCGAACCCTCCTCAAATGTTTTGTTGTTTTTCGAAATGTACTATGATTCCAACTTCTTCATATTAAGTCGTAACCTCGTGGATATTGGGCACATTTAATGAGAATATATTCATCTAATTGGCAGACTTTAAGGTTAGAGAGATGATTACTTAACCTCTATTAGTTTTAATCCTTCAATTAATATTTTGGTTAGTATACAGCTTAAACCTGAAAATTATTAAGTCGTCAAACAATGGTCTAGAGAGTGACAGAAATAAGTAAATAAAGTGGTGCCACTAGCAGTACATATGAATGCACAAAAGAGGGTAGAAAATCCTAAATAAAACCTATAATCTAACCCGTGTGTACTAATACTTGAACGCCCAGTAAAAAGACCCACATTATTGCAAAATGAAAACCCGTAATAATGAAATTAAAAAATAAACAAAAGTAAGAAAATACAATCATTCAGTACAGAGAAAAATGCAGGCAGAGGCAATACCAGCTAACACGAAGAAAAACTCATTAAACTTCGAGTGAAGCGATAGCGAAACGGAGCCCGAAACCTCCTTGTCGCTATCAGCTACGTCGTTTACGGGATTGTCGAAGTTGGAAGGGACAATGGTGTCGGGAGCAGATTCAGTTTGGTCGCCGGTGTCGGGAACTACAGGAGCAGGAGCTTCGTCGGAAGAATCTCTCATGCTCTTCGGGAGGCCCTGTCCGTGAGTGACGTTTATTTTGAATTGTTGCCCATTTTGACATTGCTCTCCGTCGTAGTGGCCGGAGAAGAAATAGTTGGTCCCTTCTTTTAGCAGTGGGACGGCCACCGTCACGGCGTATGGAGTGGTCGCCGACGGGTCAGCAGCGGACCATTCTGTCGTGTCATGTTCCGATGCGTCGTCGTAGTCGCATAGCTTGTATGTGGTGAAATTATACGTAAGCACAACCGAGTGATTGTTGTCGGTGTTAAAAACTGCAAAATGAACATCACAACGATCTCTAGAATTATTTTTCAGCCCTGAAATTCCATAAATTTTCAGTTGATCCAGCATATATTACATATTCCAAGTGCATTCCTAAACAGTGTATATCGAAGCTAATAAGTTAATAATTTAAGTATAAACTCTCGAAGAAAAGGTCAAATATACGAATCCTTCATGTTGCACCTAGTTAACTGTTAAAAAAAAATTATAGGAAAATAACGACTAATTTAATAACCAGTAAAAGTTTTACGGTCTTCAAAGTTTACAGCTTTACAAGAAGGCGGCACATGGATGATATGTCTATCACATGCATAAAACTACCGACGTTTCTCTTAACAACCAACACGTGTTCCAAGTTACATTATCAAGAATCACAGTTGCGTGCATGGTGGAAAGTCTTCTAAAAAAGAGACGGAGAAAGAAGTAAACACACAAGGCAGTAGGCACCGGCATGTTCGTTTAGCTGTCAAAATCATTATCCAAAAGAAACAACATGGGGTACGCACGGTTGGTGCCTTTTATATATATATACATATACATATACATATTTATTTATTTATTTATTTTGGCTGGATAATGAGTTATTTCTTGAACTTTCTCCTTTTAATCGTTTACTATCGGAAGCTTACCAAAAAGAAAAGAAAAAAAAAACCCTATTTTATTGGTCCTCTTTCAGACAAAAAAAAAAACGATGAAAAAAGTGAAGACTCCACTTACCATTTCAATTTTAAAACATGTTAAATTATAAATCATTTGTAATTTATTTGATGTTTAAAATTTTAGAATTTGTTCTTTCACATTTTCAATCAAATTTGTGAATTGATTTATTGTAATGGTTTAGAAAAAATCAAACTTAAAAAAGAATTTATTTATAAAATATAAAGTTAAAATAGGATGAAACTCTAGATTTTTATTTGTGAATTTTTAAAAACTGGAAAGACTAAATTTATAGTTTAACTTTTACGAAATTACATTCAAAACTCGACCTTACTAACTGTTAGTAATGAAAAAATTGGTTGGTTCAACATGATGCAAACATTATAACGTATTGGAATAATGCTAATAATAGAACTCGTCATCACATTATTATTGTTCTTCTGTAACATTGTATTACATGAGGTGCAAGGATTCAAGCTATGATTGAGAGCCGCTAAATATAGTATCAATGTAATATGAGTTAGGTTAAAGCGAGACGCTCAAAGTCGAGTTTGTTCGATATTGTCATTTAACTAGGTAACAGTTGTCGATTCATTTAGAAAAATACACAAAAATTAGAGAGATCGACGGAAGCACCAAAATATAGCAAGCAGATGGCCCACACATTTTCAGGAAGACGATAAAAACAAACGAAAACAAGAGAAATTTACAATTCAAAACCAAAAGATGCTAAACTTGAACGAGCAGAATGATAAAATCGAAGACGGAAATCAAATCACTTGAAGCGTATGAGTTTTCAGAAAACGGAGGAGAGAGATCCGAAATTTCGAGTTTGCGAAGCGATCAATCAAAAATCAAAATCAAAATTCGAAATCTCAAGAGTTTGTGAAACGATCACTCGAGAATCAAATTCAGGAATCAATAGAGAGAGCGAGCAAAGAATAGCGGAAGAGAGCTTAGTGAAAACAGAAAATTAGAGCTTACTTAGAAAATCGCCGAGGCTGAAGTTCTTGCCGACCGTCCATTTTTGATAATCGACGGCAGGTTTCTCCAATTTGTCGAACCAGCCTAGGGAGTCTCCGACGGTGTAGTTCTTGTAGGCGTGAACAGCCGATCGACCGGAAAGGGAGAGGAAAAGGAGGAGGACAAGGAAGGCCGGTGAAAGAAGATCGGCTCTGTACTTCCTCTGTTCCATTAATTCTTCTAGGGATTCGCGAATTGGAAGCGAACTAGAACCACTGAAGAGATATTTTGGGTCTGCAGGAGGGATATATGTAGTCCAGTGAACAAAGCCAGGCTTCTTCTCTTGTGCTTCCAGCTATATACTCTTTTGGTCCATTTTCTAATATACCCTTCATTTCCCCTATAATTACACTAAACTCCCCTTTAGCTTCTGGTAAATTGCAAAAGATGCCATAATCTCAACCAAATTTATGAAATAATATTTTTTCAATAAAATATTAAATTATATACGAAAAGAAACGGAGAATGAAGAGAATAAATAAAGCAATAAGAGAAGGTGTCGGTTAATCAAAGTCCAGATATTAAGTGGAATGTCAAACTCTGATTATGTCCCTTAATTACATCCTTAATTTTTTTAATTAGAAGACTTCCCGCTACAACCACTGCCATAATTTGGGCAGTTCAATTATTTATTTATTTTATTATTTAAAAAATTATTGAAAATTGTCTAATTAATGATGAATCCTACATGATTGATATGTGTGTTTGATTATTAGATCCCTAAAATATCAACATAATTTATTATGTTTCAATATATTTTAATTTAATGTCAATCTATTATTTAAATGGCTAAATTTTGTGGGCAAACGTTTAAAAAAAAAAAATTGAAATTTTAGAAATTTACTGTTTAACACACCTGCTTAGAGGAACCGGCGGGCCGCACAGAGCAAGGGCCGCAAGCTCTCCCGCTTTCATGATTCCGCATATTCCCCGCCTTAATGTTACAGTTTTGTATTCGAAGTATTAGATTTCACTTCGCTCAAATCGCTCGATTCCAATTCAGAAACTACGTTCGAAGTACAGAGCCAAATTCTTCCGTTCACATCAACCTCCTCACCCTGTGCTTCAACGCTCAATCGCTTCGTCAAACCAAAGAAGTCCACGCCATTTGCCTTCTCAATGGCTTGCTTCCTCATAGTGTATCACTCTGTGCTTCCCTTATTCTTAATTACGCCAAGTTTCAACACCCAGAATCGTTCTGTACTCTGTTCCATCAAACTGTCCAGAATTGTCGTACTGCGTTCCTGTGGAATACCCTGATTCGCGCTCACTCCATTGCTGGGAATGGGACGCTTGATGGGTTGGAGACGTACAACAGGATGGTTCGATTCGGTGTTCAACTCGATGACCATACATTTCCTTTTGTTCTCAAGATATGTTCTGATTCGCTTGATATTTGCAAAGGTATGGAGGTTCATGGGGTTGTGTTTAAGTTGGGTTTTGATTCTGATGTCTATGTTGGCAATACGCTGTTGATGCTGTATGGGAATTGTGGGTTCTTAAATGATGCTAAAAAGGTGTTCGATGAAATGTCTGAGAGAGATGTCGTCTCGTGGAATACGGTTATTGGGCTCCTTTCAGTTAATGGGGATTATAGGGAGGCTCGTAACTATTACTTTTGGATGACTTTGAGGTCCGGAATTCAACCAAATTTGGTGAGTGTTATTAGTCTTTTACCGATTTCTGCTGGCCTTGAAGACGAGGAGATGACAAGACGAATTCATTGTTACATTGTGAAAGTTGGTTTGGATTCTTTGGTAACCTCTTGCAATGCACTTGTCGATGCATATGGGAAATGTGGGAGTGTGAAAACTTCATGGCAAGTTTTTGATGAGATAATTGAGAAGAATGAAGTCTCATGGAATTCAATCATCAATGGTCTAGCTTTTAAGGGTCATTTCTGGGATGCCTTGGATGTTTTTAGGATGATGATCGATGCAGGAACTAAACCGAACTCGGTCACCATTTCGAGCATTCTTCCTGTGTTTGTTGAGCTTGAATGTTTCAAAGCAGGAAAAGAAATTCATGGGTTCAGTATGAGAATGGGAACAGAAACTGATCTTTTCACTGCCAATTCCCTGATCGATATGTATGCCAAGTCTGGTCATTCAACTGAGGCATCTAGCATATTCCACAACATGGATGGAAGGAACATAGTTTCTTGGAACGCTATGATCGCTAATTATGCTCTAAATGGGGTCGCGTTGGAAGCAATAAGATTTGTAATACTATTGCAAGAGAGTGGAGAACGCCCCAATGCAGTGACCTTTACCAATGTTCTTCCTGCTTGTGCACGTTTGGGTCACCTTGGTCCTGGCAAAGAAATACATGCCATGGGCGTTCGTTTAGGACTAACATCTGATTTGTTTGTAACCAATGCTCTGACCGACATGTATGCAAAATGTGGTTGCTTTCGTTCTGCTCGAAACGTCTTTAACACCTCCCATAAAGATGAAGTTTCTTATAACATATTAATTACAGGATATTCCGAAACAAACGATTGCTTGGAGTCTCTGAATTTGTTCTCAGAAATGAGGCTGCTTGGTAAAAAGCCTGATGTCGTTTCCTTTATGGGTGTCATATCAGCATGTGCAAACCTAGCTGCAGTCAAGCAAGGTAAAGAGATTCATGGTGTTGCATTAAGAAATCATCTTAACTCTCATCTATTTGTCTCAAACTCCCTACTGGACTTTTATACAAAATGTGGAAGAATTGATCTTGCTTGTAAGATCTTCAATCAAATTCTATTCAAAGATGTAGCATCTTGGAATACTATGATTTTAGGATATGGAATGATAGGAGAGTTGGAAACTGCAATTAATATGTTTGAAGCAATGAGGGATGATAAAGTGCAATATGATTTAGTTTCATATATTGCAGTTCTGTCAGCTTGTAGCCATGGAGGACTAGTTGAACGTGGTTGGCAATACTTCAGCGAGATGTTAGCTCAACATCTTGAACCCACTGAAATGCACTATACATGTCTGGTTGATCTACTCGGGCGTGCTGGTTTCGTAGAAGAGGCAGCAGAGCTGATTCGACGACTACCGATAGCGCCCGATTCAAATATTTGGGGAGCTCTACTTGGTGCTTGTCGAATTTACGGAAACGTTGAACTAGGGTGCAAGGCAGCAGAGCATTTATTTGAGCTAAAGCCTCAGCATTGTGGATACTATATTCTTCTTGCAAACATGCATGCAGAAACAGGAAGATGGGATGAGGTAAACAGGATTAGGGAACTTATGAAGTCTAGAGGAGCGAAAAAGAGCCCTGGCTGTAGTTGGGTTCAGATTCATGACCAGCTGCATGCTTTTGTGGTTGATGATCGAGCAGAGGGATTTGAATCAGGTGGTTTACTGGCAGAATTCGTTTGATCTGATAGGTTATTACAATGTCAAACTCATTATAAACAAACAGTTTAGTCTGCGTTTAATCGGTTTGGATACACCAGGTTTGCAGTGTCCATGAAATAGAATTTTATTTATTTCATCTCATTACAATTCAATATGAATGGATGAGGTTACAGACATGTTATTGTTAAGGGGAAAAAAAAAAGAATATGAATGAGGTAATTAACGATGAACCCAATCGATTGCTGAGAGGTATTTGGTGTATGTGAGAATACTGCCACTCTTCCTGCAACTGTGGAAGCCTATAGTTTGGGAGGAGGAAGCAGCCACTTTTTGGCCTGCACGTAATCAAGGTTGATGAAGGGTTTCGCTTGTGCTTCACTCAGCTGTTTGCTGAATTTTATACGTTTGCTCGTCTCCGCTCCCGGCCCCGAACACTTGTATTCTCCAAAGAAAACCGTCTTGTCGTAAGCGGGGTTGTTCATGTCGTCCCAGCCTTCAGGATGAAGGATGTCGGCAATGGTGGTGTAGGCAAACACAACTCTGGACCAAGGCCTCCAAGATCTTCCCAAATAAGTGTTTGGCCCGCCGGTGCCTGTAATGCTGCAATGCGCAAACACATATCCACTGGGGTCGTCTTCCTTTTCTCTTGAATGCGCTGCAATCACTCCCAATCCCCCGACTCCCAGCACATTCAGCTGAGTGTTCAAATACAGGGCCGTTGCCTTCCCGAAGATGAAGTCCACGGTGCCTTCAATGACGCAATCCTTGTACACATGCATCCCGTCGTCGTCGCACAGGGTGTCTTGGAACCCTAAGAATTTGCAATTGTAAATTGCGGCTTTATTCGCTCTGATTCTCGCCGCCAATGCCGGACCTCCTTTTCCGGCATGCGGTCTTGGAGAAGTGTTCTGATTTCATTCAAAAATTGATCAGAAAACAACACCCAATTAACCCTAAAACGCATTTAATTAACAAATTACCTCGATCACGAGATTGGCAGCAACAAAATACTCGGACTCCACGGTCAAAGTTCCACTGTAAACAGTGCCGAATTTTTTGGCATCTCCATCAAATGTCAAGGTTGGCATATTGTTAGGGGAACCGTAAAGGGTAATGAATGGCTTATTTTTCTCAATCGTAAGCTTCTCCTTATAAACTCCTTTCCCAATCCAAATCACGACGCGTTTGGTGTTACCGGCTGGAACGCTGGCGATGGCTTCGGTGACAGTCTTGAAGTCTCCGCTTCCGTCGGCCCTTACTTTCACGACGGTGGAGCTTTCTTCAGCGGCCACAAGGGCTGGATCAAGCTCCGCCTTGCGGTCGGCTAAGGGCTTCACATGTCCGGAAAACCAAGCTTCTAACTGCGACTTCTCTGCAGGAACCTCTGTTGTAGCAGAAGAGATGGGTGCAAAGGCTGCGAGGAAGATGAGCAATGTTGTGAGAGCAATATTCATATTTAAGTGATTTATTTTATTATTAAAATGAGGATGGGTGGATGAGTACGTTGAATTGCATGGAGAAGGTGGGATTATATAGGGTGATGGGGCCCACTGTGAACCATAAGAACCTCCCTAACATTTGTGGATTAGTTTTAGCTTTCCGTATCTAGTGGACGACTATTTCCTCCAAACAAAAAATATATATATTTTCTAATATACCCTTCATTTCCCCTCTAATTACTCTAAACTCCCCTTTTTCAAAGTCCAGATATTAAGTGGAATGTCAAACTCTGATTATGTTCCTTAATTACATCCTTAATTTTTTTAATTTTCTTAACATAATTTATTATGTTTCAGTATATTTTAATTTAATGTCAAAATATTATTTAAATGGCTAAATTTTATGTACAAACATTTAAAAAAATAATAATTGAAATTTTCGATATTATATACTTTTGATCATAAACTTTCATATCTTTATTTTGGGTTTGGAGTGTTATTTGTTTATAAACTACCCTCCAACCTGACACACATTCTTAGAGTAACCGGCGGGCCGCACGGAGCAATGCCGAAATTCGCTAATTTACAGCAAACGGCCTCTCTTGCATTCATGATTCCGCCATATTCCCCGCCTTAATGTTACAGTTTTGTATTCGAAGCTTTAGATTTCACTTCGCTCAAATCGCTCGATTCCAATTCAGAAACTACGTTCGAAGAACAGAGCCAAATTCTTCCGTTCACATCAACCTCCTCACCCTGTGCTTCAACGCTCAATCGCTTCGTCAAACCAAAGAAGTCCACGCCATTTGCCTTCTCAATGGCTTGCTTCCTCATAGTGTATCACTCTGTGCTTCCCTTATTCTTAATTACGCCAAGTTTCAGCACCCAGAATCGTTCTGTACTCTGTTCCATCAAACTGTCCAGAATTGTCGTACTGCGTTCCTGTGGAATACCTTGATTCGCGCTCACTCCACTGCTGGGAATGGGACGCTTGATGGGTTGGAGACATACAACAGGATGGTTCGATTGTTGGCTCTGGCAATTCGGAAGACAGTGTCGACGAAAAATTTGACGAAGGTTTCTTCGAAGGAAAAATTAGCGGAAGTAAAAGGAGAGAGAGTGAGAGATTCCTGAAGACTCGATATTTTATTTTACGTCAGTTGAATCGTTTAAATAACAAATCTAATTACAAAAATAGAAAAACCAAATATACAAAAATAGAATAAGTGAACGAAGACTTTGCCCACTTTGCCAAAACAATGGCCCCTACAATCACACTCCTCCATTCGCGTGAACTCATATGTTTTTACAAACCTAACTAAATAAGGCAGGGCTTTTATTTAACAATCTCCTCCTAAAAGCTGTACCTTATTATTTGAACTCCGATCTTTGAGCGTAGTTCTTCAAATTTCACCCGCGCCAGGGACTTGGTGAAAATGTCTCCAAGTTGTTCCTCTGTTCGGATGAAATCAATATTGATGAGCCCTCGATCTGCACATTCTCGAATGTAGTGGAATCTGATTTCTATGTGCTTGCTCCGGTCGTGCAAAACTAGATTTTTGATTAGGGAGATCGTAGGTTTGTTGTCTACGTATAGCATTGGTGGATCGCTTTCTCTCCCGATGAGTTCTTCCATTAGTCGTGCAAGCCAGATCCCTTGAGTTGCAGCCATCGAAGCGGCGATGTATTCTGCTTCGCAGGAAGACAAAGTAACTACCTTCTGTTTTGTTGATTGCCAACAGATCGCGCCGCCTGAGAGAAAGTAGATCATTCTGCTGGTGCTCTTACGATCATCAACGTCACCGGCCATGTCACTATCGCTGTAGCCGACCAGTTTGAGTTTCTCCTTTCCGCTCCCAGCGCAGTATCTTACGCCCCAGCCTCTGGTTCCGGCTACATAGCGCAGGATGCGCTTGACAGCCACTAGATGCTTCTCCCTAGGTGCTTCCATAAACCTGCTCACATATCCAACAGAATAAGCAAGATCAGGACGAGAGTTTACCAGATAGCGCAGACTCCCGACAATGCTGCGGTAATTGGTGGAGTCGACTGTCGTCGTAGTGCCGGCCTTCCTTAGTTGAAGTCGGGCCTCCATTGGCATCCTGGTAGGATTACTGTCCACAAGCCCAGTTGTGTCCAGCAGCTTCCTCGCGTATGCACTTTGGCAGATGGAGATGCCGGAAGAGTTCTGTTGCACTTCGATGCCGAGATAGTAGCTGAGCACACCGAGATCGCTCATCTCGAAGTTTTTCGACATCTCCTTCTTGAACCTTCCGAGGACTCCCACGTCGCCTCCAGTGATTATGAGGTCGTCGACGTACACTCCCACGATCAGTCGCTTTTTGCCGTGGCCGTACGTGTACATGCCATGCTCAGAGGCACAACGTTTGAAATTCAGTGACAGTAGGGTACTGTCGAGCTTCGCGTTCCAGGCTCGTGGGGCTTGTCGAAGCCCGTAGAGTGCTTTGTGCAGGCGCAGTACCTTATTAGGGTTGTCGTTATCCAGGAAGCCAGGTGGTTGTCGAACATAGACGATCTCCTTCAACTCTCCGTTAAGGAAAGCAGACTTTACGTCCATATGGTGAACCTCCCAAGAGTGATGTGCTGCAATTGCAAGCAAGAAACGAACGGATTCTAACCTTGCTACTGGCGCAAATACCTCTTCGAAGTCCACTCCTTGCTTCTGGACGTAGCCCTTCGCCACCAGACGAGCCTTGTGCTTCACAACTTCTCCTTTTTCGTTGCGCTTCAGTTTGAAGACCCATTTGAGCCCTATGGCTCGGTGTCCCGGTGGCATATCCTCCAGACTCCACGTCTGGTTCTCAGTGATGGATGTCATCTCCTCCTGCATTGCCTTCCGCCAGCACGGGTTCTTTTCTGCTTCGACGAAGGTGTTTGGTTCATCTGCACTGACGGCATGTAGTTCGGCCACTTTCTCGAGCTCGCGCGCTGCTAGTCCAGGTGGTTCACCTCCTCCCACTAGGTCATCCATCCTCCGGTACCTAGCCTCCAGATCAGTATCGTGATCGGCATCCAGCGTCGAATCCGCAGTCCGTGGTGTTGCGAATTCCACTGGTTCAGGTGGTGCACCTGCTGGCGGCGGTGACATCTCCTGATGCTGGGCTCCTCCTTCTTCAGGCTCGGTGACGAGGTACTCCACCGTGAATTGATTTGGATTACGATCTGCCTCGATCACATCATTCCACTGCCAGAAGGTGCTTTCGTCGAAGACGACGTCGCGAGACACGTGAGCTCGCCCCCCTACAGGATCATAGAGTCTATACGCCTTGCTCCCGGGTTCGTAGCCGATGAAGACGACCTTCAGCCCCCTGGGATCGAGCTTGGCGAGATGGGGACGTGTTACCTTCATGTATGCGACGCAGCCGAACACGCGAAAATGATGTACTGTTGGTTTCTTGTTGTACCAAGCCTCATATGGCGTCTTCCCGTCGAGGCTTCGGGTTGGTGACCGATTGAGGAGATAGACAGTCGTCATTACTGCCTCTCCCCTGAATCTCCTAGGCATCCCGGCCGTCACCAACAATGACCTCGCTGTCCCGACAATGGTCTGATTTTGGCGCTCTACCACTCCGTTCTGTTGGGGGGAGTAGGGCGCCGTTAGGTGCCGTTGTATGCCGATCTCGTCGCAGTACTTACTGAAACTTGCCGAGGTGAATTCTCCGCCTCGGTCTGTGCGCAGCACTCGCATCTTCTTCTCACATTCGGCCTCCGC